GATGGGTTGGTATCCCATCACTCTCCCTTAAGGGATGGGTTGGTATCCTATCACTCTCCCCTAAGGGAGGAAGCAAGGTTTGACAGATGGCTAAACCCATGGCTTTAGCCATCTGTCAAAACCTGGTTCAAAGTTAGCTGATCTGCAGGTGGTTCTCTCCTGCTCTAGCAGGCAATATCAGCTTGACTAACGGGGGTGTGAGATGGTGATGATTGATCCACAGCATCAGTTGAGGCTTCCAAATAGGTCAGGAGAAGCTGCCCTCTACTGCTTTACTTGGAACTGCTTGTTCACTGGGCAGATCATCCTGAAGATCCATGGAAGAGTGCAAGATCAGTGTTTAAAAATAGTTGCCTCCTCTTTTCCTGCCAGCCCAAAAAGAAAGTGATAGGTATATTTGGGTATGTGTGTGTTGAAGTGGGATTGCCTGCTTCACTGACCTATCCCCTACTGTTTGGGGGCTGGCCAGAAAAGCAGGGAGAACTATTTTGAAATATAGATTTACTCCTCCTCCACAAAAATGCTAGACCGTGTTTTTAAAAAGGAACGAGAAAAATAGCTTGGGAGAAGTGGGGAGAGGCAGTTTTTCCTTTGCCAGTTTTCCAAACAGTTCTGTGGAATCAGAAAACTGACATCAAAAGAGCCCCTTTCTCTTGCCAACGTCCCAGACTCCTGCCAAGCCTGGGGGTGGGGTTGGGGGGCAATAGGAGGAAAAGTAGGGAGAAATGACTCTTTCCCTGCTAGGTCTCCAATCCTGGGCTTATGGAGTCCAGTTAGAAAGAACTCGGATAAGAGAACTTGAAGACAGTGCCTCAGAACCAAAGGGGAGAAGTCATGTCTGCACCAGCCAAAAGTAGAATATGGGAGCTGGGCAGATCCCAATTCCTGACAGCATCATCACCAGCTGTGAGCCTTACAAGGTTACTACAAGACTAAGAAACCAATGCCATATAGATCAGTATTTCTTTCATTGTAATAGCTATAGTAACAGAATAGCTATTACAATAAAAGTCCAAATGTGCTTCCTCCCCCCTTACTTTATCTTTGTGTGATAGGGAGGGCTTCTCTGAGACATTTTCTCAAGTTATTTTCTTGGTCAGGGCTCAAGCCCTGCTTATCTGGCCATTGCCTTGGTAGTGGTTCTTCCTCCTGCCCTTCAAGGCCATTCCCTATGCCCTCTATACCAGCATTGTCAATGAGACATTGCAGATTGCACCCCAAGAGGGAAAACAGGATTTCTAAAGAGGAATGTAATCTGCCTCCATGATGGGATGGGACAAGATAAACGCAACATCACCAATCCTCTGAAAACAATTAGTTGGGCATCTTCATGCTGCAGATTAGCAGGCCCTGGGGATGAGTCATTTCTCTTGCGAGGATGAAGGAGCAAAACTATTTTCTGATCTGAGTCAGAAAAACGTGTATGATTTTTTTTTTCTTTGCAGAAACTAGCAACCAGAATGTGAGCCCTATAACTCTTCCTGAAGCCGCACTGGTGTTTCTTTCCTCCCTACAGAAGATGCAGAACGAAGGTGAAAGTTCAAAAGTTCCTGTAAATACAAAAACTGTGGTTTCATTTTAATTTGTGAAGCGCATTTATTAAGCAAATTGGTCTCCTGCTTATTTACTTTGATCCCTGGAATTTTAATACAGGTTACTGAATATCTGTAACCATGCAAGTACAAATATAATTACACAAAAATACCCTTAAATTATGGAATTGGCATACTACAAAACCTTCAGTGGCGTTCTGTTCAGAGTTCCTCAGACAAAATTATTATTTGATTGAGGCATCTTAAATCCTTGAATCAGAGAGGAGTTTCTGTTTTTCTTAGTGTTTGTCCCATGTAATAGCAGGCTTCTGCTTTTGCATGGTGCTTGGCTAGTTTTTACAGGGCAGAGCCTGATGTGGAATGGAGCTGAGAGGGACAGAGTGCTCCAAGGTCACCCAGATGGCTTCTGTGTCTAAGGAAGGACTAGAACCTGGGTCTCCCTGTTCCTGGGTCTCCCTGTCCCCTTTGTAGTAAACAGAAGCCTAGTTCAGGTATCCCTCTTAGATATTGTAAGAGGAGAGTAGTGTTAGCCTACGGTAGCCAAAAATCAGAAGCACTCTGGTGGTATCTTTTCAGACTAACCATTTTTTATGGAAAGGCATAAGCTTTGGTGAACTGTCACTCACTTCATCAGATGTATGGAGTAGCTAAACTGATGTAGGATTTAGAAGGATGAGGTAACGGAAGGCTATGTAAGTGCAGGTTACATGTGAAACAGATTACATATGCCTCATCAGTTAGTAACTGTAATGTGTTAAAAACACATTGTGTTTGTTATGATCTTCTAAGAGAGCATGGAACCTTTTGATGTATGAGAGTTTGGCAGTCTCTCCAAAGGCATAGCTTTGTTGAGTTCACCAAGTCTCTTTCTGTCTAATTCTTGTATAATTTTGATGTCCTAGGACAGCAAACTTGAGATCTGTAATAGAGTATACTGGAAGGTTGAAATATTCTGCTATTACTTTGGCCTTGTTTTGAATCCTGATGTCAAATTTATGCCCATTAATTCTTTTGCACAAAGTTTGGCCTGGTTGCCCATTGTAAAATCCAGAGGGGCCTTGCTGGCAGATGATGACATATATCTCATTAGAAGAAGAGGACCTGAAGAGGCCTCTAATCACTAAATAAACCACAATTGGTTTCAGTTTAGAGTGTTGTGGGAACCCAGCCATTGTTGCTTGTATATCATGGTTTATGGCTCAGCGTTGTATATGAAACCAGCCATTTTGGCTTATTCAACAAGCTAAAGTTAAATAACAAGCTTAACAGAGAAAATTCAGACAGATTAGCAGCTGAATTGGGGTTCAGTGCCAGTGAGAGGAGAAAATTCTTTCTACATCTGAAGACATTAGGTTAGTTTTGGGGTTCTCCCACAGCCGAATGACCAGGAATCAGTCTCTTCCATTTACCCAGGCACAGAGACTTTTTCACTCTGCTTGGGTATATCTGACCTAGCAACTGTTTTGAAATGGAGTATCATGATCATCTTGTTGGACTGGAAGAATGGAACCCTTCTGGGTGACTTTAGATCAGTTATTTTCTCACAGCCCAGCCCTAAAATGCAGGGACAATGTGAAGGAAGATCCCCATACAAGGTCTCTTTCAGGGTTTGGAGAAAATGCAGGATTTAAATCTATCTGATAAGTGAAGTTGTGTGCATATAATGTTGATGGTGGGAAGGAGTCCTTGTGCACAACCCATCTTGGGTTTGTGAGTGTACCCCTCATAATCACTGTTTTTGTTTCCTTTAGAAGATGAAGAAAAAGCTCCAGAGAAAGCCAGATATATTGCTGATGGTCTATTAAACCGGTGAAAGATTTTCAACCTTAAATGGGAATATGGCATGGATTGAAAAGGAAAATATATTCTGTACAAGACAATTTTTCTCATTCATCTACTCAGCTCCCCTCCCCTAACATACCTGAGCTGGTGGCTGGTTAACTTGAATTATTCTGCAGTATCAATACCGAACAATTAAAGGCAATTTTTCTGCTTAAACATATGTTTATGTGCCCTTATTATTATAATG